TCAGATTATTCGTCTAGATGCAGAAAAAGATTTCATTTGGTGGTGTTACATGTTTTTATATCTCTGTATGGGAAAACCAAAATCTCAAGGAGAAACTACAACAAATTATCAAAATTGCATTAAAATGCTGATTACTGTAAGTCTCTAACATAAATACAATTAGTCACACTAAATTTCAGTTCAAGAATAGAAGTCAGTAAGATGAATGTATTGTTGGTCAGATGAAAAACATTTACACTGTATTTAAGAGACACAAATATTCAAGGATGACTGGTACAATATGTAAGGTACAACACAGCCAGCAGCTCCAGACTACGGAAGTCTAGTCAGACTTTTCATTACTCTAAACAAGGTGGATTTTCATCTACACAAATGTCGCACTGCAGACTGTGTGGTGAAAAAAAAGTTAGTAGATTAAATGTTTAGAACATTTTAGAGTAGTTCAATTGTCATATTTTCACAGCACAATGGCTTTAAAATATGAAGGTGCTAATAGATCTTCTGCTTATAAAAAATTTAACCATTGTGTTTCCTATGTACTAATACTGAGGCCAACCCCCTTTAACATGAACACTTCTTCACTTGAAAAGAACCAAATCAAAACAATATAATTATGTTACATTACTATTATTTTGTTCTTTACTAATACCCAGAAATGTAATGCCTTGATTGTCAGTTGCCAACATATACTCAACAGTGTTGTGCACAGTGCACATGCCTCACAAAAGTTGTGGTTTGAGTGTTTTTCCGTCTCAGCACCTTTAAAGAATCTCACTAAAAGTGACAACAGCCAAGATTAAGCCTTCTCTTTTGTTAAGATCCATTTCCTAACCCCCCAACAATCACCATCTACTTAGGCTTTCTGCTGTTGTGTATTTACATCTTTTTAAACTAGCATTACCATGGCAACAACCATCGCCGGGAGGAAACATGATACTGTAACTAGCAGAGGCAGATACACCAACAGAAAGAGGAAATCCAGCTGATGTATGTCTGAGACCAGTGATGACAGAGTAAAGACAGACAGACAAATGTGGCTTTGCACACACAATACTGACAAAAGAAACAGCCAATGTCTTGAATGTAGTGACTGTAAGAGAGAGAAGAGAGCTTTAGTACATTTTAAATGTTCCTCTGGAAGTCTTTCTGTAGAAGAGTTTATCATAATGGCCCTGTTTCTCAGAAATAGACACATTACAGGGATCAAGCTTTTTCCAAGACCTCAACAACAAGACAAACAGTTTGCCTCCATGGTAACTTCTTTTTTCATCGTTAGCTCTTTTTAAGGATGCTACAAGGTGAAGGATAACTTTGAAAACTCACCGATATGGTATATGAGGGAGACCAAACAAGATAAAGAGAAAAGGCAGAGGACAGAGAATGCTAACACCATCTAACATGTGGACCACTTTTTGAATTGGATTGCTGAGTCTTTTAATTTGGCCTCCACCATCTGTTCAGCTAAACACACCTGTGTACACTGGCTCTCTCAAACAGTCAGGACTCAGCTGTCTATTCAACACCCTCTGACAGGCTCTGTGTGTTACACCGACTGCTTAACCAGACCCCAGTAATTCACTTAGTGATAGAAACGTCCTGGTGTAATTAGTTTAACTTCACTATCTTTCTACTAGAATTATATATGTAGTTTTTTTTCCCAAAAATTACTTCTGAAATGATACCGTGTGTAATATTGCTGTCCAGTAAACACAGCTCATCTCCAAATTTGGTGATTTCAGATTTTTCTCGGAATACAAGCTTCCTTTTTGGATTTAGAAAATGTTGTACTTTTTAGGCTAAATAAATATATTTTTTTAAACCCCTCACTTTATCAAAGAGTATTTTCACAATGCTGGAGATTTTTTACTTATTGTACAGGACAGTGACAATAATATTATATTTATACAATTAAAAGTAAACTGGTCAGTATAGATAAATAAAACTTGGCCACCAAACACACAGACAATGCTGGGATCAGCTAATAGTTGACAAGCTTGTGAATCCCTGTCGATTACTGATCATCATACAAGTTTGATTCTACAGTATTTCAACAACAACCATTTTTTCATCTTACAAATGCTAGATCTCTCCTTACCTTTTATATAAACAAAACCAAATGGGGGATGTAAAGAGCCGACAGAGGCCTCTGACATCTGCTGCTCACAGCTGAGAGAGTGATATACTGTAATAGGTTTAGGTTTGGATCTGGAGTCTGAATGCCGAACAGTCAGAAAAGCTCATTAAACAGCCATATGAATTTAACCAGAAGAGGAAACACAGGTGCTTCCTCCTAATGGACTTAGCCCAGCATCACCAAAGCAACACTATTCATGAGCACTCCGTCTGGTGATCGTCTACAAACACAAACAGACCCAACTGTAAAAATATATCATTATGAGTGCAGACATTAGTTAAGTAATTAGTTAGTAATTAGGTTCACCTTTATCACCATCTGCTTTCTTTTTTCTGATTCCTCGTTTGTAACCACACATTAGTATCAATTTCATTTAGTGCACTTGCATGTTGTTGCATTATGTGCCAAAAACTGTGAGACACTGAAGGAAAGGCAGGTCAGCCTGCACGTATGGAACTGTTTCAAGCAGCAGAGGAACAATCAGAACAGAATTTCACAGATCTGCAGAATTAACCTTTCTGATCACTGTTTATTATTTCTTTCTTTCTTATAAGTTTAACATGCAAAAACCACCACCTCTACAACTCCATCCATCCAAATATCCACTTCATGTCTGTTTTTCACGTCTTGAGAAACGCACACAAACATGCACGTCCCCTCCTACCTTGTACCTCTACTACCCACTTGGACCATGACAACCTCCTTCACCCCGGCAATATGTCATCCCTGATCCGATTAGTATCAGCAGCAACTGAGAAACCACAAGCTCCTTGTGGTGAGGGCCCCGAGAGGGAAGCATCTGCTGGCTGCAACAGGGCAGATCAGGGTAGGCACAGGGTGAAGCCCCCGCAGTAGTAATCCAGCTTCAATCACTCAGGGGAGGCACATACAGCACACACGATCCACCAGGAAAAGCTCAACTTAACAAGCAAATGTTTACAGCTGTCAGAACTGCAGATGGAAACAGCCAAGTCAGTCAAACAGTTTTTTGGGTCTTGCTTATTAAAACAGCAATATGATGCATAGTTAACAAAACCAGTGCATCTTTGCTTAGAAAGGCTTTTGTGTACATCATGTCCTTACCCCTGGTGTGAGAAGGGCAAAGGCAGCATCACTTTAGACAACCCCACCCCCAACCTTAATTCTTTGTTTTATTTCCCCCCCCCACCCCCAAGGACTTCTTTCAAGAAAAGCAGGATAGAGGTTTAATCCTTAGAAACCTTGCTGTAATGCTCTCATGCTTCCCAAGATCCACTTTTTTAATCCACATATACATGTAGAGGATTCATAAATTCGACTTCAGCCTGACAAGACAGTGAATCTAGTAATATAACTGTGCACATAATAAACAACAACAACAACAACAACAACAACAGCAAAACCCATGTTTGGATGGAGATGACTGTGGAGAGAAAGGCAACTAACAATTCATGCGATTACAGTACATGGACAGTGTCATTTCTAAGGCCAGAGTAAGAAGAAGCAGATGAATACTTTACACACAGACTGTGTTCTTAACATGCTCTACACACACGCATAGAACAAATGATTAGTCAAGCAACTGAAAGAAAATGTACAGGCAGCTATACTGATAAAGTAATTTTCATGCAGAAATGCCAAACATTTCATGGTTCCAGCTTCTCATTAATGTGTCTGTAAAGTTATCTGTAAAGTATTTGTTGTATTTTTATTTACTTGCTTTTTCTTGTCTTTCATTGTACTAAAATTAATACCTACAGTACATATTTGAAGATGTCCCTCTGGACTCTAGGAAACTGGTTTAAGCAGTTTTGTGATGTTTAATAAACACAATGATTCATCAAGTCAATGTCAAAAAAAAAAGAGATTGAATAAAAAATATTAATTAGCTACAGCATTCCACGCATAAATGCAAGTCCACACAGAACACAAACACTCATATTCATATACACACACTAATGCATATAAATACCTTTTAAATTAATTGTTAGGTGCAGTAAAAATAAAAAAGCATGTCATGATTCAGGAAATGTGTCACCAGCGATAACAGATGCCGTCAGGACACTGTGAGTCACTTTCACTCTATCTAACCACATGACACATGTGAGGAGCTCAGGTGTCAGAGTTTCACATGTTGTGTCAGTGATCAAGACAACAGGACGGTTTTAACAGTGAGGCAATTCTCTTCAACCGATCATCAGGCATTTGAATGGAAAAGGTAGTCTCATTACTAGCCTGTAAATAGAATCATATAAAACTAAATGCAAAAAGGTATCATTAAACATATTACACTAGTAATATTTAAAGTACAGTATATGAGACTGACCCGTCATTCACTCTTATCCCAAGTCAGTTTCTTCCCAACCTGGCTCACAAACTACTTTGTTACATTAACTGCTCCTAACAAGTTGGCCGACTGAAAGGGTCTGGTCTCTTTGTAGCGAGCGCGCTCACATTAATTATGCCTGTCACAAGTTGTGGTCAGCTGTAACAATGATGGCCTCCTCAGCTACACAAAGCCCTGCTGAGGGGCTGGTCCATTCTGGTAGGGGGACACGCTAAAAATACCACTGGGACCTGCTGCTATTGACTAAACAAACTGGAGCTAATGGGAGGCCACGGAGCTCTGCCCCACAAACACACGCCCCTTATACGCACACATGAATTGACACACACTAGCTTGCTACAACGCCTCCCTAGAGAGTGAGATATAATCAGAGAGATTGGTGGCACACTAGCAGTGAGACAGCCTGGTGCGCAGCCAATATGGACAGGGCAGGTCAGGCCTCATCACCACAACATGTTTGCCTGGCTGGCACACTTCAGCAAGGAAGGATGGAATATGTGAAAGAGGGAGCCTGTGATCAGTGTTAGAAAATGCAACCAAAAATGGAAAGAAAGTTATTATTACAATGTGGATAAAATGCAACTAATCAAACAAGCACGAAGTCATGAAAAATAAATTATATCCATGTAGATGGAAGAAGGTGAGAAGAAAGGGAGGATGGGAAGAGAAAATAAAAAGGAGTAAAGAATGTAGAAAAGGATGTAAAGGGGAAAAAACTGCATCATAGAAGGAAGATGGAAAGTCCAGGGGGAGGGGGTGTTTTGGTGAAGCACAGAGGGTTGGCACAACCACAAGTATTTATAGAGACACTTGTGTGAAACCAAGAGTAGGGACATAGCACAGGAGGAGAAGGAGGAGCAGTACTAGTAATCAAGCTGTGTCCTTGTAAAGTCAGTGGGCGGCGAGTGGGTGGCAGCCGAGCTTCAAGCCTCCTGGGAAGCAACATCAAGAGGGTCAATAATACCCAGGAGAGTGTTTGTGCTCCTGCTTTAGTCAATGGCATCCACTTCTGCTTTGAATAATGTGTGTAGTTAAATAAAACATCGCATTTTCCTGAACAATCAATTAGATACATTTGGGTTAGATTGATTTTTAAAAGGAATAAAAACATGATATGAAGCAACCTGAAGCTAAATGCTGCAAAACAACACAATTTATAGTGTGAACAAATATTCTGCTGTCTCACTCTCCATCTAGTGGTGACCTGATGTAACAACACATTTCTGTTGACTGGATGCTCTCCATAATATGATTTGGTTGGTTTAAACATTGTTTTTTTTATTTTAGGTTCCTATGCATATAAAAGTTGTTATTGTTCTTGATTGCCACAGGCCCTTTGGTGACAAGGACAGCTCAGGCGATATTTCTAATAATAAACAGTGAAGGGTAAAATGGGGAGGGAATGTAAACAAACTGCTCATTATGCACTGAAGTGCCTGAAAATAAGAATAAAATAAATAACTGAAATACATGTTTGCACTGCAGATCTGTCACACATAATGTTGTATTACAGACTTTTTAAAATTAAGTTTCCACCCATTTTTAATATTTATAAAGAACGCAAATCAATTCATGTACAGCATATAATTTGGATGACACATTTTGTGCATCTTGTGCCTGTGTAGTATGTGTCTGTGCTATATTTACCTTTGCTAGGACAGCGACGTACTTCTTGAGAGAAATCAGGGCCTTTCCTTTGATGACAGGGTAAGCAGCCACTTCCACACGCAGGGAGTAGTGCAGCGTTGACTCCAGGTCTGCCATATACACCCCGGACCTGGACGTACAATGACACACACACACACACACACAGACACAATAAAAAAAATGCACAACAGTGAGAGATCACGCAGAGAAAGACAGTTCACTGTGGATCTTGTTCATACTTGTTGAAGGGTCTCCAGGGCTCCTGTGTGTTGTTGGTGAGGACATCTATGGTGACTGGTGGTGGTTTCCCTGAACGCACCACCCCCGGCAGCCTCTGGAGGGCGTACGAGTAGAAAGAACGAGCCTCAATGTTGCTGTGGGAGAGAAGCACAGGTGAGATTAACCCTTAGTGACCATAAGTATATGAATATATTTTAATGTGCTATACTGGCCTGGGGGATGGTTTGGGCCAGAGCCATTAAACTCAACTGAGGAAAGTCTGAATGTTACAGCATATGCTAATATTTCACAACAGACTGCATCTAATTTGGAGAAACATCCTTTCCTGTTTCAATGTGACAATGTCCCCATGTACAGAGTCAGGTGTACTGGTTTCCAAAGTCTGATGTGGAATAGCCTTCTTGGGTTGCACACAACACTGACCTCATCTTCCTCCACACCTTTGGGATAAACTGGAACATCGCCCAACATCAGTGGCTGACTTTACTAATGCACTTGTGGCAGGTTCCAAGTCCTTGTGAAATGAGTGGAGGCTGTTATAGTAGCATATACATGCAAGTACCTACGTTTCTGATACTCAGCTATCACATGACAGTGGGATGTTTAGGTGTCCACAGAGTATATGTGTGACTGTAGGTTTGTACAGCAGTATGTTAAAATCCTGACTCCAGCCCTGTAAAAAATTCACAGTTCCTTTTCTGGCCGTTTGTTTCAGCAGTCCACTGCCATAAAAATGCTTTACAACCTGGATTTTTTGTGGCCATATATTTTACACACTTACAGGAATGCATTTTAAATACTAAGCAGCTGGTGCCAGAGTACTGTGAAGTGAGAGACAGAGGGGGAGAGAGAGAGAGAGAGATCGCTGATCATTTAGCCATGTGATAACTCTGCAACTAAAACCATTAACGTGCTCTCTCGTCCTCTCTCTCTAGACCACTCACATCCTTTTGTTATTTGCTTTCTCCCCTTGCCACGAACAGAGAGATAGAGAGAGTTGTAAAACTGAAACAGGATGGTAATAAGGAGGATGGATACTCTGAGCTCACACTCACTCACACCAGCCAGGGACTCAATTACACCTCCGTGTCTGGTGGGACTGTACAGATGTGGAGGGAGAGCCATTCATCCAGTGATCCCCAAGGCCAGCAGGCAGGCAGACATCAGGGTGGGCTGAGAGGGGAATGCATTCACCTGGGACAGTCACACATTACATGCATGACGGATGCGAGACGCCCCCGCAGGCTCACACACATGTAGACACACACTCTCCCAGGATCAATCAGATATTCAGAGATGATGGGAGGCCATCTGTCGCCGTGTGCGGCTGGGGCTTGTTTGGCAGGTGAAGCCAGAAAAGCAATGGCATTGTTTTCATGCAAGAAATTAAAAAACCTCCCTCTGTACAGTGATGGAGATGAGGGGGGTTGGAAGGAGAGAGATGGAGGGTGAATAAATAAATCAGCAATAAATCATTTCCTTTTTGCATTTGTCAACTAAAAAGAGTCCTCTTTGCATGCCAAGTTATTGAAAGAGCCAAACAAAGAGGCAGAAACAGCAGATGAATTTGCAGGGTGAGGAATGATCAGCGTCGCTTTATGATCGTGAATAATGGGAGTGATTTTGATGCTCTGATCCCATTAAGAGGCCAGATGTTTAAAAGTATTTTCATGAATAGGGGTTCAGATAATGAGCACACGCTGAAGCTTTAGAGCAGAAAGCAAAGTTGCTGTGTGTGGAACAATGGGAACCCAAGGAGAATAAACTTGGTGTTTGTGTATCTCAGATCAAATTAAATGGAAATTCTTTTGTTTTAAACATTTAAAATGTTTCCAAAAAGGATGGAGACTTAAGTTTATCAGGTCCTTTCTCTTTTTTTCAATTTGTCCTTTACAATACATACTGTATAACAACAGGCAACACTGGGATATAAAGAAGAGTGCATCCTGTAGGAGGTGATGCATGTTACTGTCATTGTTTCTGTTAGAGATAGTCTCCTTCACTTGTGTGTTTACATAGTAGGTTTGCCTTTTTAAGTGCTGCTTTAAAGCAGCTAGTGAGGAAAGGAAGTGGGCAATAACACCTTCAGAGAGATAGAGAGATAGAGAGAGATACTGTCACCTATAGCCTTCACGGGTAGTGTGATACCAGATGAAAAGGAAAAAAACATTGTACAAGTTCAATATATTATTCTAGACATGCACATAATCTAACCCTTTGCTACACTGTCCTTAGTTGTCCATTTCATGGTTGTGTTTAAAGACAGAAGCTGTAAATTTAAAAGCTCTACACACCCCACCAGTTTTCATTACTTTTAATAAAATTCATCCTTTGTGCCTATGTTTTTGTAAATGTACCTTTAAGTGGTAAGATGAAAGCTGGCATTTTTGAGTCAAAGTTAAACAGTGCACAGACACTCACACTCTGAGCCTGGTGAAGTTGCCTCCTGGATAATAAAGGTAGCAGGATGGAAACTCAGTCACTCCCAGTTTGGTCACCAGACCTTCCTCAGTGTTCAGGACTCTCCGCACTGCAATGTTCTCAAACTGTAAAAGGTCCAGGGTTACCTGAAGAACACAGCACGCACAGAAAAGATTTTAGTCTCATTAAGATTTTCTCTTCAACCAAACACCATACCAGCTTATTCTGACTACAGACTTAGTCTTTCTGGTTCAAGCATAGCAGGGTTCTGTTAGTTCCATGGTTGGACTGCAAACTGAGTCACTATTAAAACAGCAGTAATATTCTTGATTCTGTTACCTCTCGGCCGATGTAGGATTTAACTTCCTCAAAGATCATGGCCAGATGCTGAACATTGTTTGTTTCAAAGAAGCTGTCGATCTCTGCTTGGCTGGAGAGAGAGGAGCAGACAAAGCACTGATGTCAAGTTAAGCCACGAGGAAACACCAGACACAACTAATGAATCTTGAATCAATCAGCTATCAAATGGAAGAGAATTTTATGGACATTTTATCTTAAAGTGGGAGCATTGAAACCAAATAATTTCATTTGTATAAACATTTTACTGATCTATATGTTTCCCTGGCTCTCTCTTCTCTTCCCAGCTTAGAAACATTAAAACCAAGATGGAGAACATCTTGGTTTCATTTAGCAGGTTTATTTCTGCTCTCATGTATGTTCTTTACACTTTGAAAGTGTCCTTTTGGTTAAGAAAGGAAAGGCAGAATGGCAACTAGGATTTTCTGTTGTGACGCTCAAACAAACTTTTGATTATATGAAGAAGAAATCATGAGGAACAGTGGTACTTGCCTTTTAAAGCTAAAAAGATAATTAACACGACTTCCTGCTTCCTTTTCTCACACCACCATATACGCAGTGGATGTGTCTGTATACGTGGGCAAAGCAGGGTGGTACAGCAGTGGAAACATATTGGTCCCTCATGCTCTAATAAATGACTTTTAACTTACATCAGGCATTGACTTTCAGACTAACAGATGTGTATTGATTGAGTAAACTGAGCAATCTTTGTATTCTATAAAGTATAGTGACTAACAGTGCAGATTCCTGCAGCAGTCAATGATTAGATCAGATGAAATGAAGCAGCATGATGGGAATATGAGTTTTTGTAGCAGCAAAAGCATAAAAATACAACAGTGGTGATACAGAAATACTGTAGATTAACAAGTTATTAGAATCCACACATTTGTAGGAGCAAAAGCAAACTGCAGTTCAGCACATTTACACTTTACTTTAAAATTATGAACCTTCAACATGTGTCACTTAACAAAATCTCTTATCCAATCTACCAGTGAAATTGTGTCTATGTTTACATGGTGGGCTCCAGTGGCGGGCAGGCAGGGGGCCAGGGCTCCTTATTGGCTTCCAGTTCGTCTATGATCATGTGACGCAGACCCTGAACATCCCGAGGAAAAGCTGGGGGGGTCAGGAGACATTTTATTCTCATGATGGACAATCATTCATTGAAACATGTCCAGGACTGCCTAAGCAAACTACAGAGTAGCTGCAATATCAGTGAAGTCTGAAATAAATGGCAGACACTGGAGCTGAGCTAAGGTTAAAAAGTGTGTAAGTAAAAAAACTGAAGGACCCTTTAACTGTTTCTGTAGTGATACCTTTAAAAGAATGTCCTTTAGAATCAGCCTTGGAATAGGCAGGGAAGAGCTGTGAAGTGAAAGAGAAGAGAGAAGTGGGATTAGATGAGACGGCCCTCACACGACCATGAGAGTAAAGCAAATCGATAGTGTAATATTTGGTTGGGGGGGGACTGTATCCGCCTCAACCCCTAAATTCATACTGGTTGCAATGAGTTTGCAAATGTTAAAGCTCCACTGTGAGCTCAAAAAGAGCGAGCTCTTTGTTTCACTGGCCTCCACTGAGTGACAGCACCGAGCGAACAGGCTGTAACAAACACTACTGCTGCTTAATCATATGCAAATGCAGACGTTTGAAGTTGGAGCATTTCCGCAGTGTGGCTGCTGATCATGCATAACTTCACTGTGTTGCAAAGTAGGTGTTGTAAAGTTTGAAGTTACTGAAAGACAAATGCCAGAAAAAGATTATTTTATACACATTTTAAAATGTCTCTTCAGGCCATCAATACATTTCTGTTTATTAATTTTGTGAATTATTTTTACAATTAATCCGTTATACTATGAAATGTCAAACAGTGAATAATGCCCATCACATGTTTTGAGCACTCAGACAATTGCAGATATTATAAAAACAGAGAACAGCAAATACCCATGTTTGAGGAAATATTTAATATTTGATTAATTATAAAAGATTATCAATTTTTTGCCAATTAATTTTCTGCCACTCCAAATGAATTGATTTATTCTTTCAGGCCTAAAAACAAATAATCAATGTAAGAAGGCACGGACACTTGTAAAAGTCAAGAATTGTAATAAAATTTTAACAATAATTAGGTCGGAACACTTTAACTTCAGATTTGACTCTGGTTTATCAAAGCTGCTTTATAAACTACTTGCAAAAGACATTTTGTTCCTACACAGGCTTATGCACACGCGACATAACATGTGAATCAAAATCAAACATAGCAGTGTTGAATAAGGGAATTCTTCCTGGCAGGTTCGAGGGAAGCTGTGAACATTGCTGACCTCATGGCCAGTTCAGTGAATGTGTGAGAGGAGCCAGGAACTCAGTGAGACAAGCAGTAAGACAGATCTTAAAGCAATGTGGTGAAAGATCACAGCACTGCAGAAATATGCTCAAGCTGTAATTTATGTGTAGTTATAAAACGAAGACTTCTTACAGTTTTCCTTTAACAGTGCCTGAGAGCGCCTCTCATTTCTCGTTAAGCAACAAACTAGTCCTTCAACAAACTTTATGCTTTTAAGTTATGCACCAGATGATTCAGACTTTCACAGAGCAGACTAAGCATTTTCAGACTACATGGACTATTATTAGAGAATTATTTAAAAGCGAGTACTTTTACATTTAAAGAATGAATTGAAACAAGATCCTCTTTTACTTTCTCATAGGGCTGCAAGCGATGGTTATTTTCAATATAATTTATTTAAAAGCTTTACTAATGAAAGAATATGAAATAGTACAAAGGCCCTTTCTCAGAACACAAACTCCCTTTTGATTCACTGTTTTGTTGCAGTGTGTATAATCTGGTCATATGTAACTGGGCTTTGACAATAATGTAACATCAAGATTCATGTCAATAAAGATAATACGATATGATGTGACAGCATGCAGGCCTGTGCAGATGGATTTCACTGTGTAGTACCATTATAGATGGATACCCTCTGATGCTGTAGCTGATGCAGACCCCCCTGTTCTGCTCTATAGCACAGTCTATAGCTGCCAGGTCTACAGCTGGCTTCCACTCTGAAGAACACACATCACAAAACAGGAGAGAGAGAGACAGTAAATACAAGAGTGCACTATCTCAACAGTCTGTGTTGTCCTAGTGTCCTGTGTGCCAAGATAGCCCATGTTTCAGTACATAATTACGCTGTACACCGATATTGCCTCTTCAGCGAATTCACTTTTTAATATTTGTCAGTAAGTACCTCCTTATTTCCCCATGAATGAAGGAATGTAGCATCTCTGATGGGTCTATGCAGGTTGTCTCTCTTACTAAACAACTGATATGTCATTTCACATGCCCCCAGCAGATTTGCTAATCATATGTCTACAGGCTCATAGCTGGCATGACGCCATTGATTATCATCTGCATGTATTCCTAATGTCACCATCCAAGTTCAGCTGGACCCCTCTGCTACAGCTCCCAAACAGGACCTCTGACAACATGCCAAGCCATCATAGTGAGACTGAAATACCCCATGACTATGTCAGGCCTACCTGCCATTATCAGAAACTTTGCTCCATGACTATCGCCCTATTGATTCTCATGACTTTGTGACATTTCCTCTGACTCATGAGATACAGGAACAAAGCACAGTGAGTAGACGTGACAGAGCCACAATACTGGGCAGAATAAAAACACATCCATTAAATCACATGCTCTAATTAACAGGTAGAAACAACAGCTTTGTGCTCTCACTCTGCCCATGCAATAAGTAAAAACAGGGGAGTGTATCCCAAACAATATCGCAGCCAGAGACAAATTAACTGCAGAGTATTCGTCCCAACATGTTGTTACCTGTGAGACTTTTTGCTGGTTTATCTTGTGAATAAATCAAGATCAGTATTACCGCTTATGAATGTCGACAGTGAAGTAAAATTCAAAATTGCCACCATAAACAGCTGCAGCTACGTGACTCGTTGCAGGTCCGTACCAACCTCTAATGTCTCGAGCCAAACTTTTGTAAACCGGAGAAAAGGCGATGCAATGTCCGCACCACGAAGCGTAGAACTCCACAACCATAGCCACTGAGGAGTTGACTAAAACCGACTCCACATTTTCCGACGTTAACAAGATGATTTGGTCCGAAGTTGTGTACAGGCCAGCCTGCGCAGCGGAAGGAAAAAGTAGATAAAAACACAACCAAACAGCAGATGTTGCTGTCTTTCTAGGACACACTTGTATTTCTCCAGTAAATCGAGACGTGGCACGGTCACAGTATCGTGCCATCTTCCCCGTCCAAGCTGCCACTGCTGCTAATCGTCGCAATGAAGGCAGCAAGTTTGCATAAACTTAACGCGACGGTTTCGCATTTGCGTTTTTTGGCCAGCGGGCTTCACGGTTCCTCCCCCGCGCGAGCTCCCACTTCCCTAAAACAGCGCGTGTCACAGAGCAGCTCATCCTCCTGTTCGTCGTTTTCATAGCTGATAACTAATTAGGCAACGGTGAAATGACGCCAGCACAAAACGTCCAGAGACTGACAACTTTCATCCAGAAAATGACACGTTGCTTAACATTAATATAAAAGCATTTCTTGGTAGTGTGTGACCTCGCAATTTCACAATAAATAGACTAAAAAAACTTGACTCAAGGTCCACAAACTAGCTGAAAAACTCTGTAGTTTGAATGGCTGGAAAGTAAAGAAGTGAGATAAAATAAAATACAATAAGCGTAAGTGGAAGAGTAATAGAAAAACAAAAAAAATCTTATTCACATAAAATATTGTAACTCCTGTCAACTCACCAAGTGCATTTCAACTGCATCTCATTATCTTTCAGACTCAACTTGGAAATGAGACGTAGCCATGTGAAAACTCCGTTTGCTGAATGAGATGCCCTTTTTTTTTTAGAATAAGTACTTGCCAAAATACCTACAGTAGGCTTATAGGCTATATCACATTACTTATTTCAATTTGTCACATTTTTAGAAATTTACACTTAAGAACAGAGTCCAAATGTGCCTATATTGAATTTAATTTCTCTGGTCATGAACTCCCAGAAACATTAGTGGAGGGCCTTGTCTCCTCAGTGGTGCAGTAATGGCCCAAATCCTGCATTCTGAAGTTGCATCATAAAAAAAAAAAAACATTTGAATGCTTTGAGTATTGAGACTTTAATGTAACCTGACATGATCTGACCCAGCTCCGAGGAGACCAGCAGACAAACCTCAGCGCCACAGGGACCTAAACATTAGTGCAAGGAGCCAGTTGTCAACACCATCACAACACTTGGTGCTAGCCACCAATTATAACCAGCACACATTATGGGACAGCATATTGCTTTAGAAACAACGAAAACTTTATTTACAATTTCAAAGTTCATTTAGCTAACAAATATATACTATGTACATATTTGCAAAGTAAACCATGTTTATTTTACAACGATCGCTCTGGTTACAGTAATAGTGGGTCAGAGTGGATAAACAGTATATTTACATCCATAAAAGAATTGTACAAGTCTTCAAGTGCACTTAGCACACTCACAGCACATTATTATAAATAAACATGTCAAAAGGTGACAAGGGAAGTCGTCTGACTGCTTTAATTTGATAACCATATCTTTTGTGTCAACACTTTAATTTGGTTATTAGGATCAAATGACACATTTCTAATATTAAAAGGCAAATTTGCTTCATCTCCCAGAGAAGAAAAGCAACTCCACCCTACCAGCCAACAGCTTTGAGCTTGTTGCATATTTAGTCTGCAGACTAACAGCAGAAATCTTAGCTGTCTGGTTCATACATACAAAACAATGCATAAGATAGAGAACTGCATAGTTACAGAGGAGAATGCTACTTCCTCCCATATACAATCAATTCAAGAGGACACTGAGGAGGTCTGTAATAAAGCCTTACAGAAAATGTTTTTATGGTACTAATCAGTCACCATTACAATTACAATCCAGACAGACAAGTCATACAGCATGGATAAATTGATATCAAATGAGTTTGGTCTTTTTTGACATTGTATAATTTACAGTTTGAAGATACACTTTAGCAACTGTTAAAACATTGACAGGTAGAAAAAAAAAAAAGTACCCAGTTTAAGGTCACTTTAGCTACAAAACGTCAGCGAGGATTAACAAGCTCTGTCACACATGCCAGTATGAGTTTGTACAGTTTGTTGGAGCTGACAGTGAGGACCAAAAATAAGTCCTTGCATACAGTCCTACGTGCTCAGCCTCACCAGCTCAGTGACTCACACTGGAGCGATTATGTGTGTGTTTCCACAAACTAGCTTGTATTACAGGTAATCATTAAAAAGTCTAAGGTGTGTCTATATGCACAGCAGCAGCGATGTGGACATGAAGCAGATAACATCAAGGGTGAGTCGGCAATAGTTAGCATTAGAACCATTTCCTCAGCTGAGGCATTGAAACATCCTCTACTCCACTATGCTCTGATACAGAAAGACTGAAAAGGTAGAAAATGAAGTACTGGTAAACTGGTTAGAAAGAAGAGCAATCATTTAACAGCTGAAGAAACAGTAGGCCCAAAGGATGCTGAAGTTTGTTACAACTAACTGAAACTGATCACTGCTATCTGGCTTCAATCTGATAACTGGTCTGAACTCAATGACTGCTCTAAAGTCAAATGTCATGCTCCTATGTGACTACATGTCTTTTAGATTCTGCTACATTAACCTCTACCAGGATAACTGATGAAAAACAAGACAATCACAATTGTTTTCTTAGGTCACAGAAAATAAATGGGTCACAGGATAAGTAAAGCTCAAATCCAGCATTTCAGTAATGTCCTATAATGTGATTCTAAAATATCAAGTCAGGCATCCTGCCGGTCTTTTATTTCCCACTTGCATACTATGTACTAAACCAGGTTTTGAGCATGTAGTGTGTTCACACAAACCAATGGAATCTTAGAAAATGCCAGCATGTGCAATGAAACTTGCTTGATTTTGAAAGCGACCTCAATGTAGCTCGTAACTGTGGAGCTATTGAAAAGCAAAAATGAAAAACACTTCACGGGGGCTACAGCTTCAATTACAACATAAAACACATAATAACAAATCCTTGGACAAGTATTCCTTGGTAGCACTATGAGATTCATTCGGTCTGTTGACATTGATACATAGTGTATGCTTCCCAATATCAACACAGTGTCATCAAACTGACTTTAAATATTAAAATGTTTTTTCTGGTTTCAATAGAATTTCTTAAATCTCCAACATAATGTGTAGACATATTCACATTTCTATTTGTGCTTTTACAATTGCATTAGATTTTCTTTACACAATGTTAAAATTATCTATACGTTGACAAGATCATTTACAATTCTCATTTCTCCTCTAAACATTTTCACACAATAAATATCTAAATTCTGTGATGATGAAATACCATGCAGTGAGAACATGTTTTCTCTCAGCTTCAGGGGAGTTTGAGAGCATTCATATCCTTATTGGGTGAACAGTGTTGGATTTTATTATACACAGCCCCCAGTTTAAAGAGAAAGCAACAGGACAATAATGCTTAACACAGTGCCCAAAAGCAAACAAACTGTTTTTAGTGCCAAACAGTCAAATATTCTTCTAACCTCAGCTCGACTGAGCATGAAATGAACCTAGTGAAGACCAGGCTGAAGCCAAAAGTCCCACAGACAAGCAAGAAGCAAAGACGACTGCATGACAAAGACATTTGTTTGGATTATGGCAAACTTACAATCCCTCAAAACTGGGGACTATAAATAAAAGGCATCAACTTCTACACTGATCACCCATTATGCATATAAACCCCCTCAAATCAAAATTGAAACCTGGAACCAGATGGTGATTGTTTAATTTCAGTGTGCTGGATCGCAAAGCCAAAAGTCATGGTTCACTTCCAGACTACACTGTATATTCTTCATCTTTGAATCCGTATACATTTACTTGAAAATTTGATACAAAATATAATAACCTAGTTTTGTTTACATTTCAGTCCCCCAATGGAACGATCAACTTAGCAGCATTAATGTACATTAAATGCTAACAAATGGCACAGTTCATCCTATCAGAACATCTACTCATTCTCCAACTGGCATTTACAAAAAGACCAACCAGTCCAGGAGCTGAGAACTGAGGCTAGATGGTGTTGAGGGTTTAAGAAGGCTGGATTGCTCAAGAGGAGTTTCATGTGTAAAACAAATTATGTAACAACTATGGTTAGCTGAAGCACATTCAGCAAATTGAGTAAAAGTTGTTTAGCTGAGGGGTAGTGAAGGCATCTGAGGGTTGTTATTGGCACATTGTTTGATGGAAGACAAAGTGGCAGCAGGTTGGCTAGAGTTCACTGGGGTGAGGAAAGACTATGAATGAGTTTAAAATCTAAGCAGGAACACTGTCAGGAGAGGCCGTCTCTGCTCACCCTCTTGTCATAGATTAGTGTCAGCTCGTTCGCAGTGTCCTTCAGCAGTGCATCAAAGATGCTGTCTGCCAGCTGCATCTTCACAAGCAGCTCATCTTCATTGTAGTTGACCCACTGGGCCTCCTCCTCATGGAGCTCCTGAACCTGAGAGACAAACAGGGTTCACCCTCCATTGCACAGTAATTAACTTCAATTGTTCATACTGTTGTGAGTAAAGCAGGAACATGTCATGGCACAAAGTTCAAATGTAAGCTTCTAGTCTTATGCAAAAATCACCCGGCCAGTTACAGTTTCAGGGGCGGATAACTTTGTACAAATGAGCTCCTAAAAACCCTGTTGATCTGACATCAAATCTAATTAGTTAAACTCACTCAGAGATATTGTATAATAGCATGCATGCATGCATGCATATATATTGGCCAGTAAACATGATACTGATTCTGATAGAACAGAATATGATCTGCACAACATGTTGCCCCATCCAGTTTCACAAAGGCTTTATGGCTGGAGGGAACAATTCTGGTGACAGGGTTAAGTTTTAAAGCAAGAGCAAGTTTGACATCATATAAACTAATAAAGCAATAAAGACTGTATAATCCTAATTTAAATAGGTCAACATCATAATTTCAAAACAAATATTTTATTAATCCGTTGATGCTATCTACAGGAAATCAACCATTTGGTTCTGATATCTGCAAAGCAATATTGAACAAGTGGGTCACAAATACCTATTGTATATTAAGTGTTCTTAATAATAATAATAATTATTATTATAATTATGGTACGTAATAATTGTCTGATTTTGATTGTGCAGTGTTATATATGTAATATGTCGGGGGAAACGTATGTTTTATCTACTTGTAGTTCAGCTTATGTATTGGTGGAAACTTATGTATGTGTGCAGTACTGAGTCCAGGCCCAATTTCCCTATGGGGACAATCAAGTATATTGCATTGTTCTCTGCTGATACTGGACACATTTAACCCAGGCATTGAATTTTAGAACCTACCAGGATGTGATCAACTCTGTCCCGCTTCTTTCTGCCAAATTTGAGCATCTTCTGCCAGTCGGTTTTCTGGCTCTGATCTTTTGCCAGACCGTACAGTTTCAGTACTTCTGCTGTGATGAATTCCTGTTCAACATTACATGAAAAATATCTTACATCAACACATATAATAGGCACAAATGACTGTAAAGACCTTAGATTAATGAAAGAAAAATGACATTTTAAACGCAAGACATTGGTTGTCTTGGTGTTGAAGATATACAGTCCCAAGAGAAAGTAAAGGAACTGTTTGCAATTTCCTGGTTTTATGCATAAATTGGTCATGAAATGTGATCTGATCTTCACCTAAGTCACAAATTTCAAGAAACACAATAATTCTAAGCTGATAAAACACAATGCAACTTTATGGTGCTGCTCCTAATGTTTGGAACTACTCAACAATGCCATGATCCAAAGTTACTTTAAAAAAGAAAAGTCCTTTTAGAGTCAGTGGAGATGTCATCACTCTCCTTCTTAATCCACTCTGTCCTGTGGCACTGTACCTGGATTTTAGTGAGGTTTCCTGTGCTCTTTACTCTGTGGAAGAAAGAGGACTTGACTTGCTGTGGTTTGACCCACTGAGGCTGATCAGCATTGGGGTCTTCAGCAAAAATCTCCTGGAGGATCTCCCATGTCAGGTCATACACAGCCTGGGGAACAACAGAGGATTGTAACGACTACTTAAATGTCATTTTAAATAAAACTGAGCATAAAGCTGCAGTAAATGTGTTTAGTACTCGCATGTTAAGGTAGGGTTGGCAATTTTTTGTTACATATCTGGAAAATCTTTTTTCCTCCTGGTGGCAATGAAAACATGAAATGCACTGATAACATAAAGAAAAATAATAGTCATCTGTGGTGGCAGCAGCAGAGCTGAAAAAAGCCTGACCAATAATTTTACTTGTCCCAAGCAAAACCATTAGATGGCCTAACTGCCTCTCAACCTAACTTCCTACTTGCACGCACTCTGCCTTTGCACTCAATGTGTGAGCCAGGAGTCTCCCACAAGGCTTTGCAGGCAGACGAGTTACCACTCTGTTTTACAGCTACAGCTAGCGAGCTATGGCAGAGAAGGTAGCCACAGGAGGTTTCATTAGCAAATGGAGACTGCTGTTACAGGCCAGGCCTTCTGAGACATATAGCCTTATAGGTAATGTTGTTGTTGTTGCCTAAGTTGTGTATAGATAGGACTGTAATACAGATAACTGGGCATCAAAGGCCACATGCAGTGTTCTTTGGTTGTCTACTTTCAAAATCAAGTTTCCTCTTGCTGGTTTTTCCAGGACTGCCAACCCTACCTTTAAATCAACGTGAGTGAGACACAAATGTCAGTTAGTGCTCAACATCTGTAATAAATGTATCCAATGTATTTGATCATCTGAGCCAGTAGCTGAGACTGAGTAAAAGAAGCAGAGAATATCTTATAGTTTTAAGCCAAAGGCAACTGACATAGCTGTATAGTCTGGAAAACATTGCGATGCTCATTAGAGAGGAATGTGCTGAATAATGGGAACCTGCCTGGCATTTAACCTCAGTGGGCCAATTTAGATTAAGTGCTGTGTTTTAGCCTACACTGCAGGTCCAAGCTGCCTTTGGCTTCCTGAAGCAGGGCAGTTGTGGGATGATGTTCACTGGTTTCAGTGGTAGGGAAAAAGTGTCCTTGATTTCCTGTTACTCAATTTTACATATTCTGGTTTTACAATATTCAGCAACAGGATATCTGTATAGTTGTTTTTGTTACACAGACTTTTCACCTTCCGGTAGCTGCGGATGGAGAGGGCCTCCTGGTCCTGGCCGCTGGCCTCTTTACCCAGATACTCTTGTGAAGCGGTGGGGTTTGGCAGTTGTGAAAGGGGCGGAGCTTCCTCCTCCCCCAGGGCGCAGCTCTCCCAGATCTCCTGAGTGGCAGCATGAACCATTTTCTCCACCTCAATGGCTGAGTGGGGCACCACCATGGCAGGCTGCTCAGGTAGCTTAGGGGGCAGGGGGAGAGGCAGCTCAGGTCTAGGGTGAGTCATTACCTGCTGTTCTCCACCTGCTGAGGAGCTGAGCCCCCCCACAGGTGCTCCAGCTGAGGAGCCTGACCTCACCAGTCCTCCTCCTCTTTCCAGCCTTGCCCCTTCCTCAACCTCTCTCTGTTTCTGTTTGAGTCTCTGCTGTTCTCTACGGGAGCTGAGGCCAAAGTCCTCATCAAACCAGTCCTGGTCGTCACCTAGCTCATCCAGCAGTTCACGGCTCAGTTCCAGCTCTGCTAGTCTCTTGGCAAGCTCCTCTTGGCCGCTGGCCCCCAACACTGGACTCTCCTGTTGTTAAAGAAAAAATGTTTTTATTTCTCTTAATTCCAATCCAAGATAAAAACTCTGAATAAGCATGAATATCTAACGTGGTTACAGAATATGTCCCAAATAAAGGTTTAACACTTTTGATGTAGTTGCTCTTACTCATATTTCAGACACAAAAGGTTTTCAACCAAATTCAATAAAGTCTGTCAACATGAAACTGGACTTTGACTGAGCACATCCTCAAAAACAAGGCCTCTCCAGGTCAAATCAACAAGTTTGTCAGTAACTTTGGTGACTTTAGTTGTTCTCACACAAAGAAAATTCCACAGCTCAATCACATCACAGTAGAACACCATCACATTCTAGAGATGTTTTCTTGACTGATAAAGGCATTTTATTGACATTTAAATTACCAACACATAGAGACAAATGTTATTTTCATGTAAAGCCTTCTTTCATTATTACATTACTGAAGAAAATATACACTCACCGGTCGGTTACACAGCTCTGGAGAAGATAGCTCCTCTTTTTCTGTTGGAAGGAAGAAGGGGAGTCCATCTTTTTGTTCCACTGAAGAGACCCACTCTTCTTCCACATTTTCACCACACAGGTCTCCATTCATCTGGTTGCCAGCTTCTATCTTCTGCTCTTTTGCCTTTTTAATTTCTGCTAACTGCTTCACAGTGTCTTTTACAAAGTTGTTAATAAGCTCATCTGCAAATGTGTCCAGTAAGCCTGTATCCTTGTAGTCTCCTTTATAGTCCCTGATATCTGTGGTAAAACCAGCAGGAGTCGACTGGTGTTGTGAGTCTATATCTTCTCTCTCAACAAGGGTAGTAATTTCCTTCTGACTCGGCTTCCCCAGGTCAATCTTGTCCATGTCAGAGATGAGGAGAGTGGCTGGTGCATCTCCAAAATCCAACACTATGTATCTGCTGTTGCCATTAGACATGGAATGCTTGAATTCTTTGTGAAGATTTGAGCTGAGGTCGGATCCATCGTTCAGTGGGGCCTGGTTCTTGTGAACAGAATCATCTGTAACCATTTTCTCTCCAGATCCAAAATCCTTATGAGATGTTTGTTCATTTATACTATTCTGATTTCCTTGTTTCCTGGATTTGCTCTTATCTGTTTTGGGCTTATCCCCAATTTTATCTGACAAGTCATCAACAAACGAGTCCTCATCTTCTGTGGTGTCTGTGTAGATCTCAAACTTGTCTGGCAGGTGAGTGATCTTGTCTGGAGGGGCAAAGATACCGTGGAATTCATCACACTCAAAATATACCACCCCATCATAAGTGCCATTGTTGCTCCCTTCAGACTTGTCCAACTCCACGCCAGCCCAGAAGCCATTAGCAAAGCTGGTTGGACCTTTGAATCTCAAAGTGCCAGGCTGAACACCGCCAACTAGAACCCGATCACCAATGTCAAAACCTGGCATGTCATCTGTAACAGGAGAGAGAGGGGTCTGCAAAGCAGAGATGGGTGGTGAGTGGTTGGAAATAATGCTCTTACTGTCATTAGAGTCTGTTTCTATCTGCTTATGTAGATCTAGAAGTCTTTCAGTTTGGTTACTAGGTTGACTTGCATCAGAAATGTGACTCAGTTCCTCAGGTATTTCCTCTTCTACTTCCTCATCTTGGCTGTCATATGGTGTGGCCCTCACAGGGGAGTCCTTTCTTGAACCCCTCATTTCAGTGGATGAAACTGAGATTTGAGAGCCGGGCTCAGAACTATGCTGCTCCCCCCTGGGTGACAAATCAGATGATGATTCAAAGTCATCATGATAGCCATCTGCCAAGATAGAAGAGGCTTCAGCATCCTTTATGGGTGCCTCCTTCTTAGAAGAGAAGGCTAGAGAATAAGGCAAACATGAGGGATCATTTAATGAGGAGCTATAGCTTGGATGTGGTGTTCTTTTCAAGTCCACCGCAGCTGAATGTGACACAGCTGTAGGTTTTACAACATCTTCTGCTTCAGATGGAGAGTACTGATGTTCTTTGGTCATGGAAGAAGAAACATGTTTAGATGTAGACAGCTTCTCCCGGGAGTCCACTCTGTCTCCTAGTTTGAGAAGATGTTCAGAGTGTTGATCTTCCAACCTGGAGCTTATTTCCACCTCCAGCTCTTCCTGAATGTCAGATCTTTGATCCGACACAATGTTCTCATTCCCAGTCTCAGTCTGTGCTTTGGCTTCAATGGCTGTACAAGAAGGCTGTACAAGAATCTCTGAAGGCTGACGGCTCATGTGGCTTGAGGCTGGACATTCTGGGCTGTCGTATGCTGGAGTCTGAGTGACTGTTGGTGGGTCTTCATCAGATAAATCTTCAGGCACTGAGGTGGATCTACTATGATCAAGTTGAGGGAAGGCATCTAACATAATAGGAGAGGGTCACATTATCACTGGAACATCTCTGTCACAACACATTTTTCAGTAAACATTATATAATGTATGGGTTATGAATTATAAATAAAAATCACTCACTGTGATCTAACGAAGCATCAATGCACATTCTTTCAGAGGTTTTGCTGGGTTCAGACCTGTGAAGAAACGATTTTTTTAAAAGCTGAACAGCAAACCTTTCTAGCTCATTCCAGTACAAGAGTGTCATGTTTGCAGATGTTTTGGGTACCTGTGAATAGGTGGTTTAATGCTGAACTGCTCTGCAGTCGAGGTGGAATCTCTGATCTGGGACTTGGTAGCAGGGGTTGAGTCTGGCTCCTTGCTCAGTTCTGCCTTAGTTTTTTCAATAATGTTGTTATAGGTCTGAAAATAACAGTTAAGATATGCATACATATACAGTATGTGAATAAACACAGACTCACACAAAGAAGATCAAACATCCAAAAACCACCACAGCCTGCCCCACCACCACACACATACCTCCAGCTGTTTGAGTAGGCTGGCCTCCTGTGCCTTCAGACGCTCTTTGTGCCTCTTCTTTTGCTCTTTCTTTAGCTGGTAGGCCATAAACTTTCGTTTTCTGAGTTCTTCCTTCAGGGCCTTGATACGACTCTCTATATCACTCTGGTCTGAAATGGGTTCTGAAGATAAATTTAGATGCTCAGTCACAGTTAGAATGTGAAACCAATGCCAGACCTCTGATTAGAAAAGGGTAATCCTACTTTATGCCCACTTGAATTCAAACCGTGTTCTTGGGGGATTACTGTACTGGACTGTTTCTTTAGCAAGAATGTGTGGTGTCATTTTTGCGCATGTTGCTTTGACTTGAACACAATGAACAAACGGTTACAAAGATTAAAGGTTTAAATAGTGACCTGAAAATGAATTAATCACAATCAGCTACAAACTAAGACAGCCAAACCATCTTCGCTTGTGCAATAGCTCAATGCAATGCAAAGTGTTTTGTCTTCCTATCTCAGAGCCAAGCAGGTTAGGTATCAAGTGCTTGCATATTGCTCTCTTAGCAGCATCACATTATGCCTGACTACACAGTGCCAGCAATAAAGCTGCATTACATCCACTCTCTCCGTGTTCCCCCTTCTAGCTTCTCTGAGATCTATTATCTACTCCGAAACAATATAAATTCAGTGTGTGATTGGGAATAATGAGTAACTCACCAGTCTGCATGGCCATGGGGGAGTCAGTTGGTTGAGTGTGGGCCTGGTTGGCAGTCTGGGAGGAGCGCAGTTGCACCTTTGTTTTGCTGCTGCTTTCCTCTGAAGGAGAGGCAGCAGGGCTGTGGCTGCCCTTGAATGCAGAAGACTGGACGGACCAAACAGGAGGTGGAGAGGAACAGAAAGGAATATTACTCCAGGATATGACAACAAGACTGATAATGGAGGTATGGATTGGATTAATATTTTATGTGCACACTAAACTAACAATTAGTTACATTAAATTCAATGTTCACAAGCCTAACTACAAATCACAAAGAAGGGACTAAACACTTAAATGGAAAGAAAACTGTACTTGTTTCCTTGGTGACAGGGAAGCTAAAGTGAAGTCCTGAGTGTAACTGCTCTGGATGGACACCAAAGGTGTTTCAGGGACCGACAATGGTTGCACTGAAGATGGGCTTCCTGCTTGCTGGGACCCCAGTTCCTCTGTGTGTATACTAGACTCAGGTGTTGCTGAGGAACAGCCACCCTCACTGACATACTCTGAAAATAAAACAGTAGGCACAAAGTCACCTTTATTTGTCCAAATAGTTTTTGACTTCATCCCCTAATTATTATGGCCTACTAGAAACCCTTCATTTGAAAATCTAAGAATCTTGCTGCTGCTTCACCTTTCTCATTGTCAGTTCCCTGCTCTGAGCTTTGAGGGTGACTGAGGCTGGAGCTAATATCAGAGATCTCCTTTTTCTGACTCTCTGACACATCATGACTCTTGTCCTGAGGTGTTTGTCTGTCCCATACAGCCAGGGCCTCCTTCTCCATCCTACGGACCTCTGCCTCCTCTTGGTCCAGTCGCCGTTTCCACTGTAGCAGCTCCTCAGCGTGGCGACGCCTCTGCATCAGCTGCTGCTCCCGCTTGGTCAGGAACCTGGGGAGGTTGATGGTAAAGATGAAGGGGTAGAAGAACAGAAATGAGAAAGGAGTAGAAGGCAGATTGTAGTTGATGGTGAGGGGGGAAAAAAGGTGGAGAAATGAAGATGAGTGAAAGATAGGAAGAAAATAAGTAGTGAGTGACAAGGAAAAGAGGCAGTGATGAGGGAGAGAAGAGAAGTTAGACAAAGGCATTTAGCATAAGGGTTACACATCACCTTGTGGAAGCAAGCAGACCCAAATCACCTGGACATCCAGTTATAACTGCAAACTCACCTCAAACATTTGTTCAACACTCTGAGAATCAAACACACACACCCGAACCATGCCAAGAATAATCATTCGAATATCAAAGTTTACAAGCACCCATCAGATTTAAAAAAAAAAGTGATGACATATCACTCAGGAGAAAGGAGCATGAAAATAATAGTTAACATGTCAGATTCATGCATCAGGCTAAAACCCAGGGGTTCAACTTTGATAGGCTGCAGACACCCACACACCCACACACACACACCTCAAAGACTTTTAGCGGCTACAGAAAAAAAAACCTACCCATAGGTGGTTACATCTGTATGAATGTGCCTTTAGTATGCCCTCTTCCATTTACTATATTCCCCTTACAAGTTATGACACTGTAAATACATTAAAACATAAGGGTTCTATTTTCTTGCAAACTTAAAGCAATTTAAATCTAAAATCCAACATACATATCTCTGTAGATGTAGAGTGTTGATACAGAAGTACAGTCAGGTATAATGTAGTTTCCCACAGCTTTGGGTGCCATTACAGTGCAGTATTATTTAGCCTTGATCTGATTTAAAGGCCCTTTTCTTGACCTAATGCATACTGATGACAGGCCAGATACTGAAGAACCAGTCTGGTGGATTCTTTTAGTGCTTTCCCAAACACTATTATAGCCAATGCCCATCTGTACTTATTATCCCATCCTATGCAACAGTTACCTAATAAAGAGGGCTAGTTAAGATTTACTGAGCTCATTAAAGAGATAGACTACTCTATCTCTGGTCTGTTCTCTGCAAAAGTCCTTTACCTCCATGTCACTGTGTGGTTTAATCTGAAAACATTTTATATGAATGAGCAGTCTGGAACTAACCAGCCAACAGTCAGAATATAAAGGTCATTAAGGGGTGACACTCTCCAACTTGTTCATCATTCATTCCAAGAGAGAAATTTTTTAAAAACGAGGAGAAGAGCTGCACATTAAACAGGACAGAAATTAGTGAAATCCCAGCTTTGAGTCAGATTACCTTACAACAAGGAAGGCTTCTATTAAATGAGCTTAACCTTTGACCTTCGCAAAACAATCTCAAGTTTTTACTGTTTTAAACTCAGTGTGCTCTAATACCTACAGTGGCGACATTGCACCTTTTATCACGCTGCAAAAACTAGCATGAAAGCTAGCACAATAAATAAATAAATTCAAATTCTAAGTGAAGTTGTCAAAGGGTAAGCTTATTTCATTAAAGAAGCTTTCCTTGAGCACTTTTCAAGCCTTTACTCATATTCCTCTGCCCACAAATTCCATCCTAGAAATTTACAACATTACAAAAACCCCAAACAAACCAACACATCCAGTCACTCATTATTCACCATCCCACCCCCCACAAGGTCCCAGTGCCAGTGGATGAACATAAGCATGTTCGATGGGGTGGGAGGTGATGCAGGGCAGAGCTAGGTGGAGATGTTGGGGAGGGGGTAGAGATCACTGTACAGTACCTGACCAACTGGTTGCAGATAAAGAGCTGGAATTTAGGGTGGAGGTTGGGGAGACAGACACTGAGGGAGGCCCAGTGGTGGGCCGTGAACACAGAGAAGAAGTAGTGGACAGGAGACCAGTGTCTATAAGACACAAGCACGTGACAGACAAAGACAAAAGAGTCAAATCAAAATGGGTGCAGACATGTACAACACATACATAAGAGGAGGGAAAACATTAAGAACACAAGAGACGGAAAGGGAAAAGACAAGTAGAGAGAAAGGGAGAGAGAAAAGTGATGTGAGAAAATGTGGTTTTATTGCACCCAAGGTGTGAGTGTGTCAGGTTCTGTTAGAAAACTCCAAACTAATATGTTCTGGGAGAACATGAACAATTTAACATGTATGCATTAAGCATGGGGCGTTGCTTGGGGTATCATTACTACCAAAGCTGCTTATATAGAGGGAGTTAAATGATAGATGGCAACCCTCATACTTGTACAAATTACAGCATGAGGTACCAGTTACAGCCTTAGCTGGAGTGATTACAATTTTGTTAGTGTGTTACACTGAGCTGAATATGCTGTATACAGTTTCTTTAGCCGTGATCAACATCATTACAGTGGTAATAGAAAATGACAGAGGGAAGAGGTGAGACATTTATTAAAAAATGACAGCATGCAAGCGAGCCAATGACTTTACCATCAGACATATCAACAGCTTCAAGTTTTTCTTACATAATGTTATTATGCGGTGATTTAAATCTAACTGTGGTGAATCTAAACTTTATAATCTATTAAAACTAGCAGGAAAACAAGTAAATGAAAACTGCATTTTTAACTGTAATACTAGTATAAATTTAAAGAAATCTTGACTCCAAAATTGCTTAAGTGCTACCACAGTATGTAAAGTTGACCTATATTTAAAAGCCAAGTTATAAATCCTAAACCTCAGAACAATTAACCTATGTGTTGAGGCTACCAGGTCAAGAGGGGCTCTAAAATCACCAGACCAAAACTGCTGGCTGAGTCTAAAACCTACAGGAACTCCAAACACATGTAGGAAATGCCAAGTGTAAGACAAGTGGGTCAAGAGAAAATGGTGGAATGCACAACCTATGTTTGTCTTATTTAGAAAATAACAATACCTCTGTACAGTTAGGTTTCACTATTGCAGTTATTTAATGCTGTTTAATACTGTCTGATACTATTGCCTTCCAACATTTGTTTAGAACTACAACAGATAACTCCTTGTACAAATCATCCTTCAAACTACTGTTGTATAGGTTGTACAGATCTGAAGTTAAGGGGGTGTATTATAGCCTTAGCATTATTATTATTAGTATTACTGTTAGTTTCAAGCAGGTTAGTTGCTAGTCAAACGCACTATATAAAGAAATTGAAAATTTCTGACTAGACTAAAAGTCACTGTTGCAAACAACACATTGCATCACTTATTCCAGAGTTATTCAGTTGTCAAACACATCTAAACTGCTTTGTTAATTTTTATTTTGTCATATTTATGCTAAGGCTGTAGGCACTGCTCAGCAATGATTTAAAAAAGCAGTAGTATCTGTATCAGCACTCAGTGTTTAAAATTAATTTAAAAACTAAAAGCAATAGTAGTAGAACAGCAGTAGTAGTAGTAGAGGAGAAGTAAAAGTAAGAATTAAGTGATCATGATCCTATTGTTGGACATAAAAACCGAGAAGCAAATCACAAGGGGAATAGCAGCAGGAAACATCTAAAGTAAACACTTTTCAAATAGATAAGGAAGCTGGACCTGCACTATTTTGCAGGGGAAGCTGTCAATAGCCTAAATAATCTATGAAAAATGAAATGAAAATATTTACTTTTCATTCGTGTGAGAGTGCATCTTCTTGAGCTTCTGCATGATGCTACTAGTCTCACTTCCAGAGACGGAGAGGGGAGGAGAGGGGCTGCGGTTCTCATTAGCATGTCTCATGCTGGGGGAGGCTGGTTCCGATGCCCGTGTTTCTGATACAGAAGTCTCCCTAAAAAAAGTAAAAAACGGTGAATGAACATGCAAACAGGTCAATAATTAGTAAAGCCAGAGAAAAAAAAAACCGTAGGATGAACATTGCAGCATTTTTTCTCCTTTATTCCATTAAGATTCTATTTCTGTGGAGTAAACAATACTGGACTGAAACATCACCTGTTCCCCTTTACAGACTGTGGAGGCAATTAGTGACTGCACTACTTACCAGCGGCATTTCACCCCCAGCACACTTGAGACGCTCCTTCAGTCTGAGTGTTGAGTTTCTCATCCGCTCAATCTCCTCCTGCTGCTTCAGCAACAGCTGCCTTTCCTTCATTGCTGCTTTGTTGGCCTCCTGAAGCCGCTTGATCTCAGCCTGTGAACATGAGTATAGTGGGAGAGTAAGTAATGGTTAAAATCACACTATACCACTACAGCTTATTGTCACTTAATTATGTTTCGACCCTCCAATACCTGCTCCTGCTGCAGTTTCAGCAAAAGGCCCCTCTGCTTCTTCCTGATTGGTGGCATTTTGTCATCCTCTCCCTTGTCTCTCAGCCTCTTTTTCTGGTGCTCTAGCCAGGCCAGCTCAGTTCTGGCCTTCTCTTTGAGAGCTTTCTGGCGAAGACGGAGTAGAGCGCTCTGGTGCTGCAGTCTTACCTCCTCATCCCTCATGTACTGACGCACCATGTCCATAGTGAACTGGGAAAAACTGTCTTGTCCACCAGAAAAAGCCATGTTGACATCCTGAGACCGCAGGAGAACAGAATAGGTTAAAGGCAGAAGAGATTGAATGAAAACAGGAAAAGCAATGTTAGATAAGATAAAAGAGAGACCTTCCCAATAATAAATAATCACACTGGGGGGGTCAAGTGTTTGTATATCACCTTCAAGATATTATGTGATCCCGAAACCAGTCTTGTGTTGTGATTGGCTCCATCATCCTCTGACTCCTCATGGTGGCGGGACTTTTTCTCCATAGTCCCACGGCGGTGTGCCTCAGATGGTAGCAGAGAGCGGAAGGATTGTTCTTCTATCTCATCCTCTGTCATAGACTCATCAAACTTGAAAGAGTACTCTGTTGCCACTGACGTACTGTCTCCTGGGGGCCAAAAATAACACGAGCTCAGTGTAAACTGCGAATTCTACATCTACTATCTTAGCAATTTTAGGTGCCATATGTGTGGTATTTTACATATAAGCAGTTTTGTGTTTAATACAGATGGCAATGAGGTTTTCACATTTTCTCTACCTGTTGCAGTGATACATGTATAACTGTACCTGGTTAATGTTGAATCCAAGAGAAACACACATATACATGAAAAAAAGCACACCTTTTTTTAACTCTTAAGGCTGTTTGCAATTCAGTACCTTTCTCATCTATTACAGAGGGGATGCTGTCACTGCAGAGGGAGTCATTTGCTGCTGTAGCAACTTCATCCTCTATGGAGGTGCTGCCTGCTTCTCTCCCCTCAGCTCCCTTCTTTCTCCATTTCCCCTCTTGTGCTTCTTTTTTCACCTGTTCGCTGTGGTCTGAGGAGACATGCGACAAGCTAGGGTGGCTGCTGGAATCTGCTCCACTGAGAAAAAGAAAAAGACAGATTTAGAGCCTCTTTTGGTTTCTCTTCCCCCCACCCTAATGCAAAAACAGTGACACTAATACAATATGAGGGGCCTGACTGGTACCTGAGGTTGGGTCTTCTGAAGGATAGAGAGTCAGTGTGACTGAGGCTTTTCAGTGAAGACAGGGGTTCCTCCGGCCTGGTCCGTCTGCTTGACATTTCGCTATGGAAGTTGTAAAAACCCATTCACATTTAGAACAGACTTTAACACTCAGTGGTAAATGCTTATGATGCTTTGACTGATTTAAACCATCATAAAATAAAGCATACAAGTTGTGTGTCTTGATGTGGACTTGCAAACAAAAGCTGTTTTTAGCTTACCTGTCAGAGTCAGTTTTATCCTGTCGCCACTTCTGCTGTTCTTCTCGCTGATCCAACATGCAGGAATCAGTAGCAGCAGGGGGGACAACCAAAGCTCCTGCCATCTGTGACCGTGCCAATTCTGTCATCTGACAAATGAGAAAATATACAGATCAAATATCCCATTTTGCTGTATATTATACTTTTCTCCTCTGCATTTATTGTTATTCTTTTATTGTCACAAATCAATCCGCTTTTGTTACAAAATGAAGACATGGGCTGTTTTCCAAGCAGTGATGAAGGCAGTGATTACTAACCTCCTTGATGTGTCGGGCAGCATCGGCTGTGTACTGTGCTGCCTCAGCCTGTTGACTCATCATCTTAGTAGTTGCCTCCTGGAGGTTTTCCAAAGTTTGTTTTTGATTCACCACCAAGTTTTCCTGCAGTTCTATGTGAGCCTAAACAAAACCATACAGAGCACAAAGTTAACAAAAACAAACACTGGGCAAATTATCTACAAAACCACATACGTTGTTGGTTAACTGGGTGTGTGCGCGCATGTGTGTGGTTGTACCCTGGCTACTCTCTGTCTGTTTTCCTCCAGCTGTAGCTTGGTCTCCAGTGCTTCTCTTTCTGCCTTGATCTTCAGTTCACAGAGGTCACGTTCATGTTGCTGCTGCTTGGCCTGCAGTGTCAAAGTTCATAAACAACAAGCGCATCAATACAGAATCATTACAGTAAGATAATAAGTCACTGAAACTCAGAGGCCAAAAAAGCTATTAAAGGTGTTTATTATGCAAATGCTATGCCACAACAACAATTAAAACAAGTCCCTAATAAACAAAATTAGTGGAAGTTACTCAAGTACACTCACAATGATATTGTTGTTTCAAAAGTAAATTGCAACCAATGATAGAGTATAGCCCTAGTTTTACATTTTGCATGCAGCATGCATGGTCTTATCTTCACCTTTACTATGGTAAATACTTTAAAATTAAAAGATATGTTCCAGTTACTTATACCACATTTATACATAAAAGCACAACTTGTGTGTAATCCTACATTCATCTAAGTAATAAGCTATATACAAAATGTCCAGTTGTCTCTCTGTGGCATTAGTTAAAAAGAGAATTACAGAAACTTTGTGTAGTTCAATTTGAACTGTTTAATAATAACAAAGCTTCTGATATGAAAATACCCCAGACATGGCTAAATATACAACAGAGCTTCTTTGTTGCCCAGTTGTTGACATTGCAACTTCAACAAAATCTTGCTATACCTTGAGCATTTGAGCCAATGACACACTCTCCTGCTGAGCCATAGACACACCCATCAACTTCTCCATGTTGTCCAGCTGTTGGACTGACTCCTCAATGGACTCCAGGTACTGGAGCTCTGCTGACATACGCTGCTGCAGGACAGCAGGTGAATACTGTAACTCACCTGGGACAAACAGGAAGGGTGAGAGATAGAGTGAGAGAAAAATTCATAAAAGGGTGGAGTACTGCACTTTGACAGTAACATGATCCACAAACAAGCCTGAGGAGTACTACACGAAACAGTTGAGTATGTGCCTGTTCAACCAGGCAGTCCTTATAATTTGGTCACATCTTTATCTTAACAGAAGCATCCAATAAGGTTTAGGTCATATAATATCTGTTTATTAAACTGAGTTTTATATACCTGTTGTCCTGGTCTCTGCTCTACCACTGCCAGCTGTGGTGCCTGTGTTCATGTTATTTGCTCCCATAGAGCCACTTCTTACAGGTTCACTGGAAGAGTCTGCTCCTGGAGAACCAGGGTCTGAGGAGCCAGAAGGATCAGCCTGTTTGGATGCGAGTGCTCGAGACTTCTTACTGTTAAGCCTCAAAATAGAAATGCAATTCAAAAATGAAATGTTATTACTGTACTTATACATTTGAAACCCCAAAAGATCCCTTCTAAAGTGAGCATGCCTGTAACTTTACAGAGGATGAGTTTCAGTTTACAGGTTTATGTGGTCTGCATATATCATGTTTCTGAGGTTAATTTAATATGTATCAAGATGAAGCATAATATAGTACTGACTAAGGAAGCTGCCATTTTTATATGTGAAAATGGTAGCTGATGTAATTTATGTTAGTTTCAAAATGGGCTATTAAATCATGCATAGCTCAGCAGCATGCTGCAAGCTCTGTAGCTGGTTTGCCATTTTAAAAAGAGGAGCAGGTTGACCACACGATAAAGAAAGTGGGGGCCTGTGGCCCTGCAAACCACAGAAATGGCTGAGGCAGCATAACCCTGCTGTGAGAAGCCCAGGCTTTGAATGGCTACAATGTGCTGCTCAGAGATGGTCAAAGGCCAACACAATGTCTAAAGAGATCACTGCACTTCCCATTAAGGAGAATAGACAGTGATACCCTTTACTCCAAGGATAACAATCAGACTAAATAAAGAAATCCCATACATCTGTGAGTGCACAGATTTTGAAACTCAGTTTTAGTTTAACTTGGAAAGAAACTGTGTGACTAGTGTGGCTTTACAGGTTAATTTCAATAGCAATTTAAACAGATCAATCTGTATTAAGTGAAAATACAGAAAAGTAAAAAAAAGTTTAAATTTGTCACACAACGTGATAAATCAACTAAACATCAAGCGATAAAGAAATACAATCATGCTGTTATGACCCTATAAGAAACATCTATAGCCCTCTCTTTCCAGGACAGCATAAAAATAAGCTAGTGTAAGCTAATAGCAACACCACTAATCTCACAAAGCAGTGTTACACTGCAGGTTATTGAGAAGCAGGTGGGAAGGAAATACCAGAGACAACTGGCTGAGTGAATCCTTTAATCTTGTGGGAATACCATTCACCGGCTTCTGATACCAGGGTATGGACTATACAATACCTTAAGAGATGTGCATTCCACCTTCCATCTTGTAGGAGGAAAGGTTTTTTTTTAAAAAAAAATCTTTTACACTACTCAACTAAAGCAAAAATAACAAACCTCTCTGTAAATAAATCTGCTGAGAATCATTACCTTTGGTGAGAATGCCCTGATGTTTCCCCTGAAGTGTCACTGGAGTGAACACTCTTGGCTTGGCTGTGAGCAGCGCTTTTGTCTGAACCCCTCTTCCTGGAGTCAGAGGATAATGCCTCTGAGGGGGGTGAGCAGGAGCTTCTCTGCTCTTCTATCAGAGTACCATCACTCTGGTCTGATGCTGTGCCTGCAGAAGAATGGAGTTATATCATTTTACTGTGCAGTAGCCAGGATTTGTAACTGCAAAAACAACATAACCATACAAAGACCCACTGTGTTATTTCCACTTTAGTCAGAAAAAAACTGAAAATTCAGATTTATAACAGGAAATTATGCAAAAGTATTCATGCATACCTCTTTTTCTGGTAGAGTGCTTAGAGAGGGGTGAGGAGCCAGATGTTGAAGCAGAGGAAAGGTGTGGTGAAGACTGAAAGGATGAATGGTGGGAACTGTTGCCTCCTGTACTTTTCTCATACGGAGACCTCCTCATCAGTTCCTCAAAGTGACTGTTCACACTGACAGAGAGGGGAGAAACATGTTCAAATCACTCAGGATCATTTAGGAGCTTTAACACAACATAAAATTAAGCATACAGGACTAACATCATTGAATCGATTCAACCTTCTGTGTAACATGAATGCCACCAAGTGGTCACTCTAAAAAATGTCTTTCTTTTCTCGTCATTTTACCTGGGTGAATTTGAGGCTTTCCTCAAGTGGCTGCTAGTTCTGCTGCTATGTGATGACACAAAATCGTCTTCATAGTGCGCCGCATCTCCAGGGTCATTTCCGGAGTGCAAAGAATAGGCCGAGGGGGAGTTTCTCTCACTCACTACAGGACAAAAGAGAGGAAAAATATTCTGACATTGTCTAGTCTGACTGTTAGTATGTTGTACGTGTTCTTACTATGAGTGCTACCATTTTGATTTAACAAACATCCTGTGTAGCTCTTATGGTAAAAAAAAAAAAAAACTAAAATTACTGTTACTGAAACAATAAAAAATTAACTTCTTAACTGTTCATATATTTAACAACTGATGAAGCTGAACACAAGACAAGTTTTGTCTCATCACTTACAGTACATCAAATAGCACACTAACAGTACACAAACTGTCTACATTCCTCCCCTCAGGAAAGAGGCTGCACAGTATCTTGGCAGGAACTACCAGGCTGAGGAACAGCTTTTTCCTTGAGGCTGTAAGACTGATTAACTCTGCTCCACACAGTTTTGAACTGTCATTAACTGCTGCTGCTCCCACTATTTTGCTGCAACCGTGGAATTTTGCAAGTGTTATTTTTAATTATTATTATTTATTGATAAGATTACTGCTTTTACATGATTTTATTGCTTAGATGCACTTCTTCTTCATATTGCTTTTTTTCCCCTTGTAACGACTGGGACCTGAGCACTTTATTTCATTCTTTTAATGTACTTGCACAAACCTTAAAATATGGAAACATTTACTCTGACATACAGCATCTTTCTTTGAATGAAAAGGTACTCATATGAAAACTAACCTTTAACATGACCATGCAGGTTCTTGGTGAAAATGCTGATTACACTTAGAGGGCTTCCTTTGTTCAGTTCTTCCCAAGCTGCCTTAACGTTGTCTTGCTGAGAAAATGGGGAGCTGAGGGCTGAGCATTTCGCTGCCTCCCTCTGGAACTCTGTCAGGTGTTGGTAGCCCGTTCTTTGACTGGCACAGTAGTCCACTGCCTCCAGGCGTTCTGCTGCTCTAGATATATGATTGTTGGAGGGATAAGGAGGGTTTGCCTCATCCTCAGAAAAACTCCCTTCACTCAGTATGGGGCCCTCACTGATGGAACCTGCACTGGAGTCGTGGAGATCTGTCTGGGCCTCCACCTTGTCATATCCTCTCTTTGGTGCCATTTTATCCATTGTTTCTACGTCTTCCAAGCCATTAACTAGCTTTCCTCCTGCTTGTGTGTAACTATTAAGAACGGGTCCTATTAAATTAGAAGTTGCTTGTATATTGGTCAAATTGAGGTGTGTACCCTTCTTTTCTTTCTGTCCCGTGAGTGTGTGCAGGCTGCCTGCTCCTGGAAGGGGTGTGCCATTGAATGAACTATGACCTGTGCTAGTCAAAATCCTCTGAATCCTCAATTCCATGTCAGTATTTTCTGTGGCAGAAAAATAGTATCTACATCCACTGAAGTTGCTGTACCATAGTTGATCCCCTCCCCAACAAGCTTCCGTGCCTCACTTTCTATACGGTTGGAGAGGGATGCAGCTTTGGCCTTGAGGGCCTCAATGCGGGATATCTTGGAATGTGACCTATCGGAAGGTGCTGTAGCTGGCTGCTGGGTATGCCTGATGTCACCAGTGGCCACTGCACCAGTCTCCACCCTGAACATCTGAGTAAGGAACTGGTCACCAAAAGGGGCTAGCACTGTACTGCTGGGACCGCTCGTTGGTTGAAGAGATGGGCTCAGATGGTCAGGCTGAAGCAACGAGGCAACTCCAACATCCAGATCATTCCTTCAACAGCGAGGGCAACACAGAATGAAGAAGTTAAAAGCAAAAACAAGGAGAGTAAACAGCTTCCTTTAAAAACAATGATCAAACTGAAGACGCGTGCAAGTGTATTCATCACAACTGGAAACAAGAAAACTTTCATTCTGAATAACCATAATGTTTGCAAAAAAGATATTTACAGCTATTCTGGGTATTAATTGTACTGTTTAAAAAAATCACAATGCCTCTTGTAGCTATAGTTTTGAATTAATGTATTCACCAGCCTGATATGTAGCTGTTATTGATACTGAACACAATGATAATTTCTACATTTGCAAGACCACAACAGGGTAAAGCACTATACACCCTCATCTTTATTTCCAGTCAATTAATTGAGGTGCTCCTTCATGCATCTAAGATTAAAGCAGTGCCCCACAGGAACAAGACGTCAGGAGTACTTGCACAGAAGGGTCATAAAAAAAGCATCTGAGAACAAACAGTTTTTCTGTCAGGTACAGTCAACTGGTTCCCTGTTTATTATCATCCAAAACATTATTCCCAGAAGAGACACAAATGCATGTACTTGAAGAGAGTTGTTTGTTGTTGATCGGTGTTAATAAACCTGAGTACAGGCAACTTGTTATTCTGGAGAGTTAGTGAGAAAGGCAGGCAGTTGTGAATATGTGTGTACCTGGATAATGGAGGAGGAGGTGGCTGATCATTCAAAGACCTATCACTGCTCGAGGGGCTTTGTGGTGCCTCTAGTCTTTTGTTCTCTTTGTCTGACTCTCCTGAGGGCTGGTACATTGGTCTCTGTGGCAGAAAATAAATACATGTTATAGTTTTATTACATATGTAGTTAATTCACTTACTTAATTACTAATACTGTACCATTTGACTGGAGGGAGCAGCAGGCTGCGTCTGCACAGCGTAATTCCCCAGCTGGGCCTCCTCAAGCAGCAATTTGTTGTAGGTCTCTTGTAGTCGCTTTTGTACAGGGGCCACAGGGGCCTCGTTGGGAAAGGTCACCGTTTTAGCGACTTCTCTTTGCTTCCTGTAGAGCTCCTGCAATCTCTGGTTTCTCCTTTCTGCCTCCTCCCTCAGTGCCCTCTTCTCTTCTGCTTGACGCCTCCTTCTTTCTTCTTGTTGCCGGGCAATGTACTGGCGAACAGTATCTGCATCATAGTGACGCTTTTTGTGCTCTGTGTCAACTATGTTGGCAGTCTCTGGCCGGCGCGCAGCGGGGCTGGCACTGCGGCAGCTTCTTGAGGAGTGACCTGTTGCCACAGCAGTTCCCCAAGCAGATACTGGAGCCCTTGTTCGTGACCCTGATCCACCTCTCCCTCTCCTACCACTGCTCCCACCTCTGGATCTTTGTCGGGCCCTCTCCTTCTCAGCGGCTTTGCACTCCAGCTGAAGGTCATCAAGTATCCCTTGAATGTCTGCTGACAACAGGTCCCTGCTTATACCCACTGGGGTGTTGTCCTGAGCTGCAGACGAGTGGGTAGATGTGGCTGTGGAGTGGCTTTTGGATTCCCCCTGAAATCCACCATGAGGCCGTTCTGTGCTCTTGGGGTGAGATTGTTGGTTTGATTCTGAACGTGGATCTGAACTGGAGTGGTGATGGGAAGCTGGTGGACAATTATAGAAAGACAAGATGTTATATTTGGCAACTGGCAATCACACACTACACTCAGAGCATACCGCCTAACAGCTTCAATGTTAAAGACTTCATATCAATTACGTTGATAAAACAAAAAAGGTATTGCCTCCATGAATCACAATAAGTCAATAATATGAGTGTATGACCGGTTTTAAATTTTTCAATAAATAAAATCTGTAATTAAATGGGGTCATCTTAAAAACATCAGAAGCTCTAACAAATGCTGACAGATCCCACATACATTGGGGGGAAGGCTTGCCATGGCAACTCTAATCTGGGCCAAATTCCCATCTAGATTTTACACTATCTAATCCAGATGCTGTTTTTTCAGATCATGGCTGCAGTGAGCCTCATTGCTTCTCCCTGCCTCACTCAGCCATTCCCCAGAGTGTGTGCTGCCTGGACTGAGGGCAACACCCGGAAATTAGGACATGCCTAATTGTGCATCCAACCAGAATAACCCGTCAGTCTCTATTCCTTCCGCCCAGTAGTACCCAGTACAGACACAGCTAGCAAAGACAGAGGTAGATATGGTGTGTATGTTTGTAATGAAGAACGTGAGATACTGTTTACTGGTACAACAGCAGCCATAGACTCTTCATTATTCATATTATTTTAGCTGACTGTTGTCAGCCATGATGTCTAACTGAAACAAGGCATAATTTACCGCATTACACCTTCTAATTACATGGACAAACTCCATTTTAGTAACAGCACCCAGTGCAGAAATTCATGTTTAATTTTACAGGTGAAAGATTAATAGCAATATGAGAAAATTTTAAGTTAAATGAAGACAAGCTGTCTGAAAGAAGGGGGAGGTGGGTGGTAGGACAGTCAGAGCACAACTTAATTTACACTTCTGTGATTAAGTCTTGTCTTATACACCACTGGACATAAAGCAGAGAGGACAATTTTGACATCAGACTAAAATGTTCTGGGAAATTCTTCTAATTCAAGTAGAAAGCTATTCCCCTTTCCTATCTAGTACTACTTTCTGTCTACCACTTCACATCATATGGTTACAGCAAAGATGACTGGGTTATAGGTAAACTTGGGCTGCGTCCGAAACCGCCTACTACCATACTGTATAGTAGGCGAAAAGCAGTAGGCGAGGCGAGTAGTATGTCCGGATTCGTAGTATTCCAAAAACAGTAGGCGAAAAGTACCCGGATGACCTACTGCTTCCGGTTGGATTTTGCAGTGTGCATACGATGGACACTTCACTATCCCATGATGCCCCGGGAGAGGAGTTATCCAACGAAGAAGACGCTGCTATGAAAACGTATGTCACGTGATGTATCAACATGGCGGATGTAGTACGTCCGAATCTCATTCATACTACCAGGCTTCGTACTATACAGTACCTACTGTTTTAACGGTCAGTAAGTAGGTACTTCATCTCTTTCAGTACGTACTGTCACAGTATGTGGTTTCGGACGCAGCCTGAGTCAGCTGCTGGTATCATGAAATGGGTTCACAAGGTAATATAAGACAGGGTGTAGTGCGAGTGTGAGTGCAGTGGTATGTATAGGAGGATAAGAGTTTAGCTCTTCAAGCTCCACCTGTTCTGCCCAGTCTGTCAGCTGGATGAGGTCTGTCCTCCTCTCTTTGCAGCTTGGGGACTGGACCAAGTACCATCTTTACTAGTTTCTGGCCCTCCCGCCATGATGCTGGGCTAATCACTGCTGAGAAACAAAAAAAATGACTACCTTAGATGCTGCCACCTAAAAGCATGGCAGTTCAATATAGCTTGTTGACTTCATTAAACAGGACAGCATATTAGCACATTCTGTATACGCAGACATGCCAACACCAGAGCAGACCCACATGAACATAACTAAACATAAATACAGGAGAACAGAAGAAATTCAAATAAAACATTTATAACATTCATAGCTTTAGTAAGACTAATTTAAAATGGTCACTAAACACAAACCCCGTACAATCAAAATCAACATAGAAGTTACTGAACTTGTTGTGTGAGGGAAGTGACACAACGAAAGAACTTGTGGTTTAGTCAAATCCCCACTGTGTATATCTTCCTCCTTGCCCTTTGTAACAATCAGCAGATAAATTTCAGTTCAATTCAGCTCAGTTGTCTGCCACCAGCCCAGTACAGCGAGCGAGAGTAGAATTTCATTTGTGATGCTCAGAGCACTGGAAAATTATGTTTCAAAGACAGCAACGTCTCTTTACTTGGAAAAATCTTGAGTGCATTTTTCACTATGACAGTATTCTACTACAGAGCAGTTCCTGGTAATGAAGTTGTACATCCACTCACCAAGCAGCTGTTCCTGCTAGGTGGATGAGCCAAGCGAATCTGGCCACAGAATTTAGAGGGCTATTTATAGTACTGTGCCATCATGAAACAGATACAACCAGATTTTAAAGGCAACATAAAAGTTGGAAGAAACACAAGGCACAACACAAGATGACACCAAGCACAGAGTGAATGAGAGCTAGAAGATTATACAGTCAGCTCTCATGTTATCCAGATTTTATCCTCTTTTTTTGTTCAAAAGGGTTTGTGAATGGGGGGGTTCTCAGCTGTCAGAGTTCTGCCATGATCAGGATGCCACATAATGTGACTGTGATTCTTCTGTGTGACTATATACTACTGGCTGGTCACAAACTGCATGTCAAACATACTGAACATTTTGTCAGGGATTAGAGCCTTAACACAGCCTCAAAAAACACCAATGGTTCTTGTTCATGCACATGCATGCAGGCCTTGCCAACTGAGTTGATGGGGGGAAAAAAAACAAAAAAAACATACTGAAAAAACTTAGAAAAAAATCAACTGGACTTAGATTTCTAGGTCGAAGACGTTTCACCTCTCATCCAAGAGTCTTCGACCTAGAAATCTAAGCCCAGTTGATTTTTTCCAAGTTTTTTTCAGTTTACTATGACCTGGATGACTGAGAATCTGCACAAACAAATCATACTCTACGCTCCAGGATACTCTAATGCACTCTGGTCATTCAGTTTGAGACATTTATGACACAAACTCACTTTTTAATGTTTAATGTTTAAACAAAGTTACTACTTTATGAGACTGTGTTACACTCACAGTGTTTACAGTCAACAAAAGATTAAGATGACAGCAGCCAAATCATTACTAAATTGACATCAAGGGCAGCATGTGTGCACAGTAAAATAAAACAAGTAAATAAAGGTATATATGAAATACAGAACACAGCTTAGAGGACAGAGACACAGAGACAGAAACAAAAGATGGTTCAAAACTTGAGACACTTGGTTTTAGAGCATATGCACTGAGCCATGACAAAATCTTGCCAGTCTGTTCGACATGCTTGGCTTTCCTACTGTCACTAATTTAAAGTATATCAGAAGGTGGATTGGCTCAGACACATAAAAGAGGATTATTGTACCTGGTTTCACATTTAGATCAGAAGCAGGAACAGCTCTGTGGACCTTCCTCACTGGCTTTGGAGGCCTCCTCTCTTTGGATCTGTCTCGTCTCTCTTCTCTTTGTTGCCTGGATCTAGTGCTCTCTGTTCACAAAGACACATGCAGAGAATAAGCCACAAAGCAACCCACAGACATATATTCCTAAATTCCTAAAGATATCATTGGTTGAAAGGGAACATACAAGGACCCAGGCATATCAGATATGAAGACTTACTGCCACTTTTCATACACACACACACCACTTCAGAATTGCTGTTACAAGTCCATGTTAAAAAACAAGACAGCACCATCCTGCCCCAAGCAGAAAATGTTACAGATAAGAACTGACAGCAGTGGGAAGAAAGTACTCGCTTACCAGCAAACTGTCGTGACAAGTCTCTGTATATCTCCCTACTGAGATTATGAAACTCGTCCTCCTTCCAAACTTTCCCATCAGGAGTCCGGATCTTTGTTTCAGTACTATTGAAACCTAGGAGTCAAAGGACAGAAGATGTAAGCTGCAGGACCCTGTTTCTTACTAAATGGCTTAAATCTATATTCCTAAAACACTAAGCAATCATTTCACAAATTATTTCAAACAGGGTGAAACAAGAGAAAAGTTAAAAGTGCTGGATAAATCAGGTAAATCAAGATACCCTTGTAAATAGGTGCGGGTGGTGCAGCTGCTATTTTCCGTATTTTGGCTGTGGGTATGTTACTGGTACCAGCATTGTTACTCCCCACAGCTGCGATAATGGGCTGTTCCATATTACCCAGCAGCTTCTCCTTCTCAGCAGCCTCCTCCAGATGTTGTCTCTGCCTTCGAATACGTTCTTTGAGCTTCTCCAGTTTATCATCAGGCTGATGTCGCCTTAGGTTTTCTAGCCGCTGGGAAGCTGAGCCAGGGCTGGTGGAGGGAGTGCTCTCCCCTGGCCGTGGGGCTGGAGCTACACATGGGGTTGTCGCTTGGCTGTCCATTCCAAGTTGTGCTTTGGGACTGCCATCCTCCACAGGCCCCTCCCTTGTAAGTGCTCCTACACCTGTGAGAGGTGACTGGTTTCCAATAGTCCTCAGTGTGCCCAGGGCTGGCTGGTCATTGAGGTAGCGGACCTCTGTGCTCTCCAGAGCTGAGGAACGTGTGCTGTCCATGTCCCTGTCTGCCTGTCTGTCTCTGGTGTCCCTCTGGTAGACCAACCGGCTGAGCAGAGGATCCGAGGAAGGCGGAGAGGATGGGTACAAAGACCCTGGCACTGACTGCAGACTGTAGGCCTCCAGCTGAGAGAATGGAGGGGTGGCCTCTCTGGACACAAACCAGATTACAAGGGATCAGTCAGAAGATCAAGATTTACTTTTAATTTGCTGAGTGTACAGAAGAACACATTTATGGGTTGGTAAAGTATAGAAGGAGTGACAAATTCACTCAGGATGTTATTTTAGCTCAATGATGAAAAACTATTTAAGCATTGAATAATGTGAAATGGGAAACTTTGGCAATGCAAATCTTACACAGACCTCAGTCATTAGCATAAGACCGAAAGTGTAATAACATCAAAAATGATCTGAAGATCAGACTATTGTGTACATTGCTGGTAATAGCAAAACACAACCAAACACTTCATACAGTTAATTTCAGAAAGTCCACTGGTGCAATATTTAAATATTAACATTCAAATACTGATATTATCAGCAATAAAACCTTGTAAATGCAAACGCAGGTGCCTGGAGCTACTGAAGTACTGTATCTGTGAGCTACTCAGCTAAAAGCCACTCAAGGACATGTCACGAACATATGATCTCTGAATAGAAGTCCTATAAATCAAAAAGCACTTGAGAGTGACAGCTGTTTATGTGAAAGAGGTCTGCTGATGCATCAAGTCCAACAAAGAGCTGAAATAATAATTACAATTACTACATCACAACCCAAGAATAAATACTATTTAATTCAGTATTCACTCTACAGAATACACATACTCTAACTACATTGGTATTGTTTTCATGTAATCTAAAATAGAAATATTTATTACACTGATTTGGTATGCAGGTTGAGTAAAAGCTTAATGCATTTAGTTTAAAAAAATAAAAAACGGAAAAAGAGAAAATCGAAGATGCCATGTTGCCAGTACTCAATGGTGCCATGAATCTGTTTAAGGGCACTATTTGTACCTGTACGAGGCGAGTGGCTCCTTGAAATCCACGTTATTGTTCCTGCGGACATTGCTGTCCTGGGTGGCATTCCTCAGTGGGCTGCGTGAGCTGCTCTTTTCTGGACTCTGCTGACTGTGCCCCCTGCGTTTTGAAGACCCCCCACTGTCATCAGCTTGTTGTCCATCTGATGGCAGAAAGAACAATGTTAAAATTATTGTACACATCATATACAATGTACCTAGCCACTTCATAAAATGTAGCTTTACATTTTAGAACAACTTACCCCTGCAGCGGACCATCTTGGATGATTTCTTCTTGGGGGGGTCCATGACAGAGTCCAGGAATACCCCTGTCCCTGGAGCTGCCTCTAGACGGTTTTCTATATGCCGCAACTAAAAAGGAAAAAAATTCACACTTTAAACTCTTTACTTTTATGAAATGACTAGTCTTTTTGAAAGACTGACAAACAGAGTCATTCAGCAGAAAATGAATACTTACAGCAGCTTTGGACTGAGCCAAACTTTTCCATGCAGATGTCAGCTCTGACAAATAGGTAGAAAATAAAACCAATCACTACTGGTAAGACAGAACCTCCTGCTAAGTCACCAAAACACACAGCACATCTAAATAGCGAATTTCACAGCTTAAATAAAATGAATATAAGAATTATTTCAAAATAATTTTACACACCTGTGCCAATATTGTGATTGGTAAGCTGTTGAGCAGTCGTCCGGGTGCTCTTCATTTCTCCCATTCACCTATAGTCAAGAACAGACCCAGGCAAAAAATGACAACCAATATGGCACTAAAGTAAACAATTTCTTATTAAAATGCAGTTATGTAGTTTTCACAAATATTATGGCATTCACCAAGGTTTTCATTTCTGGGATTTGTTCTTAGGTAAGAGCAGAATCTACGCACCCTCAAGAGCGCATTTACATCCATTTGAATTCTATTATTTTTGTGGTTACTTCATTTTCTTCAATTCTACTGATAGAATTGGATTTCAGGAGTTGCAGTTGTTTTATTTACTGTTAGTATTATTTTGTTTTATAAGAATAAAGTTTAGTATGACTGTTTGTGTTTTATTAACAGCGCCATGTATCAGTATTAACCTGGCTCTTATATATGCATAATAGTAATAATTTTAGCCCTGTGATGGATTGGCAACCTGTCCAGGGTGTACCCCACCTTCGCCCGATTGCCGGCCGGGA